CCCCCCCTAAGGACCTCAAACCTCCCCCAAATCCCTCCCAATGCACCCCAAGCCCCCCTATAAAGCCTCAAATCCCTCCATAAGATCCCCAAACCCCCCTCTAATGCCCCCAAATCCCCCCAAACCCCCCTCTAAAGCCCCCAAATCCCCCCCAGGCCTGACCCTTGTTCTGGCAGAGCAGCAGGGCAGCGGCCAGGCCCCGGTTCACGATGGGCTCCTCGTCCAGGATCGTCGTGGAGGCGGCCGAGAACTGGGGGAGGGAAAAAAGGGGGTTCAGGGGGAGCCCCCCCACTCTGGGGGACCCCAAACGCCACTTTCGGGGTGTCCCTCCCCATTTTCGAGGTGTCTCCCCAATTTTCAAGGTGCTGTTATTTGGGTTATCCTGATTTTTGGGGTGCCCCGTTTTTGGCCCCCTTCTCCATTCCCGTGGTCTCCCCCGTTTTTGGGGTGTCCCTCCCCATTTTCGAGATATCTCTCCCCATTTCCAGCGTGTCCCTTCCCATTTTTGGGGTGTCCCCCCCGTTCTCGTGGTCTCCCCCATTTTCCAGGCGTCTCCCCCCATTTTTGGTGTCTCCCCCCATTTTCGAGGTGTTTCCCCCAATTTTCGGTGTCCCCCTCCCCATTTTGGGGGTGCCCCCTTGTTCTCATGGTCTCCCCCATTTTTGAAGTGTCCCCCCCATTTTCGGGGTCCCTCTCCCCATTTTTGAGGTGTCCCCCCCATTTTTGAGGTGTCTCCCTCATTTTTGAGGTGTATCCCTCCATTTTCAGTGTCCTTCCCCATTTTTGGGGTGTCCCTCCCCATTTTCAAAGTGTCTCCCCCCATTTCTGGGGTGTTCCCCTGATTTCTGAGGTATCTCCCCCAATTTTCGAGGTGTCCCTCCCCATTTTCCAGGTGTCTCCCTCCATTTTCAAGGTGTCCCTCCCCATTTTTGAGGTGTCTCCCCTCATTTTTGGGGTCTCCCGTCCCATTTTTAGCCCTCACATCCTGCTGCTGCCTCTCCTCCGCCAGGTTGACGCTGCTCCACCCCACGTTCTCCTCCCCCTCCGAGTCGGGGGCTTCGGGGGGCGACGACGGACGCCCGGAACGTTCCAGAGCCTGGGGGGGGGACACGAGTGATCAGAGGGAACAAGTGCAGCCCCAACCCCCAAGTGCAGCCCCTGCCTCCACAGCACCCTGAAATCACTCCCAGATCCTCCTTTCCCCCAGAAAGCCCCTCAAATGCCCCCAAATCACCCCCAAACTCTCCCATTCCCCCCCAGCCCCCCATTTCTCCCTCAGCCCCCTCAAATCCCCCTCAACCACCCCAAAATCCCCCCAAACTCCCCAATTCCCCCTCCCAGCCTCCCCAAATCCCTCTCAAACCCCCCAAAATTCCCCCAAACTCCACCATTCCCCCTCATCTCCCCAAATTTCCCAATTCCCCCTCCCAGCCTCCCCAAATCCCCCTCATCCTGCCCCAAATCCACCCCAAACTCTCCCATTTCCCCCTCCCAACCTCCCCAAAGCCCCCCCAAACTCCCCAATTCCTCCTCCCAGCTCTTCCAAATCCCCCCATTCCCCTCCCCAGCACCCCAAATCACCCCAAACTCCCTCATTCCCCCTCCCAGCCCCCCCAAATTCACCCAACCCCCCCAAATCCCCCCCATGTCCCACCATGAGCTCCTCCTGCTCCTCCCTGTTCCCGGCCAGGCCGTAGGTTGGGATCTCTCCCAGGGTCCGGCAGAATTCCGATGTCGCGTTGAAGACGATGCTCCCCCCACCCCGAGGGTCCGGCCCCACTGCCCCCCCGGACCCCCGGAGCAGCTCCAGCACCTGGGGGGGCACAGGGGGGGTCAGTGGGAACCCCCAGACCCTTCAGTGACCCCCCAAAATCCCAGGGGATCCCAAAATCCCAGGGGATCCCAAAATTCCAAGGGAGTCCAAAGCCTGGTTTGGGGGGGCTGAAGGACCTCCACCCCACTTTAGGAGGACCCCCAAAATCCCAGGGGATCTCAAGCCATGGGTTGGGGGGGCTGAAGGACCCCCACCCCACTTTAGGGGACCCCCAAAATCCCAGGAGATCCCAAAATTCCACGAGATCCAAAGCCATGGTTTGGGGGGGCTGAAGGAGCCCCACCCACTTTGGGGGACCCCCAAAATCCCAGGAGATCCCAAAATCCCAGGGGAGTCCAAGCTCTGGTTTGGGGGGGCTGAAGGACCCCCACCCACTTTGGGGGACCCCCAAAATCCCAGGAGATCCCAAAATCCCAGGGGATCCCAACTCCTGGTTTTGGGGGGCTGAAGGACCCCCACCCACTTTGGGGGACCCCCAAAATTCCAAGTGATCCCAACCCCCAGAATGTGGGGAATGGGGAGGTTTTTGGGGTTGTCCAGAAGTGATTTTAGGGGCTTTTGGGGTTCCCCTGGGAGGAGTTTTGAGGTCGCCCTGTAGTGATTTTTGGGGTTCCCTGGTAGAGGTTTTAGGGTTACTCTGCAGGGAGTTTTTGGGGCTGCCAAGGGGGGAGCTTTGGGGTTGTCCCAGAATGATTTTTCAGGTTCCCTTCAGGGGGAGTTTCGGGATTGCCCTGCGATGATTTTTGGGGTACCCCTGAAGGGAGTTTTAGGGTTCTCCTGTGGTGATTTTTGAGACATTTTTGGGTTCCCCTTGGGAGGATTTTCCAGGTACCCCTGTAGGGGTTTTGGGGTTGCCCTGGGGTGATTTTTAGGGGATTTTAGGGTTCCCCTGAGGGGATTTTTGAGGGGTTTTGGGGTTGCCCTGTGGTGATTTTTGGGGGTGCCACGAAAAGATTTTGGGGCTGCCCTGAGGAGTATTTTAGGGCTGCCATAGGGGAATTTTTGGGGTGCCAGGAGGGGATTTTGGGGGTGCCATGGGAACATTTTAGGGCTGCCGTGGGGGGATTTTGGAGGTGTCCTGAGGAGTATTTCAGGGCTGCCCTGACAAATATTTTAGGGCTGCCATGGGGGAATTCTGGGGGTGCCACAGGGGGGATTTTGGGGGTGCTGTGGAGAGATTATTTTAGGGGTGCCCTGGGGGATATTTTGGGGTGTCTGGGGGGGGTCTCACCTTCTCTCCCCCCCCCTCTCGCAGCTCCCGGAGCTGCCGCAGGCGCCGCCCCCTCTCCAGCTGCTGCTGCAGCTCCTGCTCTGCCTCGTCCTCCTCCAGCGCTGGGGGGGACCCCGGCACCCCCAGCTCCTCTGGGGGGGACAGAACGGCCCAAAGTCACCCCCAAAATACCACAAAATCGCTCCCAAAATACCCCAAAATCACCCCC